TCTCTCTTCTACTTATGATTCTTCTTACGTATCTCTCATAATAACTTTAATATTTTTCGCTCACTAGGTCAAACATTTAAGCACAAAATTGATTTTATCTTAAACATGCCATATATTAAGTCAAACGTCATGTCTTATTGGTATTATTGCATTTTTTATCATTCTGATTTATGAATCGATTTCAAGAAATACATGTAATTACAATAATCAAGTTCAACTTTATTGTCTTTTAGTCATTCATAAAATAAATTTAGAATATTTAAAAATCACTCTAAACGTTTATTCATTTTCTGAAAAAGAAATTTAACTAAAAATTCCATTAAAACGAATTTTTTGTAGAAAAAAAATTATTTCAAAGTGCTACCTTTGGTGATTGATATGTAAATAACTTGGTCGTTAAATCCGTGCGAAAAAGGACACGAAGGAGGTGTGACCATTTGTCCAGACTACTGAAAGGGGTGACCTTTTCGCCTATGCATTCAACAAAAAAAAAGTAGATAAAAGCTTCGCATTGGATGGTCATCGCTCGTTAAAGTGAAAAATTACACTTTCTTACGTTTGTCTGCAATTTCTTTTACGTCCCAGATTGAAATTCGACGTTACATCTGCACTGGTGGTCAGCTGCCAGGTCGAGAGCCAATTAGACTCATGAGAAAGTGGTACACATCGTTCTGATACTTACCTACCAAAGGAAGTCTTTTTAACTATAATTATTATCATAAGCTTGAGCTTGAGCAATAGCCATCGTCTGTCTTTGAAAAGTTGATTCTTTTATTTTAGAGAGAAAGTGACAGATTTGTTAGGGTAAAATAACCGTGGTATTTTTTGTAACAATAAATTACATTTCATGTTAATAAAAAGGAGGATGCATTTTGTTTAAAATCTTGCTTGGCATTGTTTGTAATTTTTTGAAGACTATGTAGATGTAAATCAGACATCCGGAGAGCTTTTATTATAAATCCTGTTAGCTTCCGAGTGAGAGTACCCCTGAAGATAATTACTATCGTGCATTTCAACGAAGAGTAGGTTGTCAGTCTCGGGCACGATCTCCTGACATCTTGTCTGGTAGCAAAAGGAATAATTGGATGTTTGGTAATGTCAAAGGTGAGAACTCCGTTGTAATGCAGTGTCCTAGAAATAAGTCTTCAAAGAAATAAACCGGAGAATTAAAATTTTTTTCCACTCATTTTGATAAATCTTCAAATGGATTTTGCAAAACCAGTCGGAAAGTTGTTTTATGTGGAAGAAAACATTTTGATTCTTGTCATACGAGGATTTTATTCACCGCTAATCCGCTATATTTTGAATTTCATGTATGACCTCTGACTTTGTACAGGATATTCCACGTCTCATAAAAGCCGTTGGAACGATGGAGGTTATGTCAAAATACAAAAATACCCATGAGAAAAAATGGATAAAAAAAAAGATAGTAAAATAGCATTCATTTTATTCGATTACATTTATTGCTTAGTGTCAATGAAGAATTTTAAAGGTAAAATAGATTTAAAATATATTGTTAATTATTGAGTTTATTTTAAGATATATTTCTCATTATATTTTATTAATTAATATTGTGTTTGGTAATGATTAAGATGAAATTTAATATGCAAAGAAATATAAAACGTTGTCAGAAGCATGGCTTGCAAAAATATTTAATTACGAACGAAGAGAAAATTAAAAGAATTAAATATCAATTTTATTATAACTTTTATTATTCTTTTGTTAATTTATAAATAACACCTTTTTATTGTATTCCATTATTTGATATTTTAAAAATTAAAGAATAATTTATTTATTGCTTTCAACAATCATGCAACTATTGCACTCGATGTAGGTTGAAGAAGAGTGATTTTTTGGATGTCTTTTTAATAATTCATGACATCACAATAACTAAAAATATGTATTATAAAAAATTTTCAGATAATCTTGCATTGTATCCAAAGAAAAGTGCAGATACCAGAAATAATATCGGTCACATGGAAAAAAATCAAACGATCTCTACAAGATTTGTATGTATGCTTCAAATAACTATAGAGCACAATAGATCAATAAAACACCCAATATAATGAACATGAATGGACGAGAGAGGATATTTCACATTACCAGAAGAAAAAAATTAAATAAAAATGACCGGATGTAGATAATCTTGTAGACCCACTATTTGTTTATGAAGCAATAGAGAACAAGTAATGAAGATAAAGTAGAAAATGCGAAGATGATCTTCACATAATAGTTCCTGTATATTTATGGAGCAAAAAAAAACTCCAATCTTCATCTAATTCAGTTTGAAAAATTTTGTCTCAAATTATCGTGTCAAATATGACACTTTTGGATGAACTCTATCGACTTTCATCTTAAAAATATTTTTTTCTATTCAAAACTTTTATTGGAAGAATAATTTCCAACAGTCTAGATGTATTTAAACATCCATCTTTTACAAACACAATTTATGAGATGAAGTTGATATAATTCTTATTTTTTTTTCTCTATTTTATTTATCATTTATAAAGCATGTTAGGAAAGTAATAAGATTGAAGAGAATCTCCACTGAAATCTAAAATTATGTCAGCTGTCATGACTTGAGATTTAGTCTTCTAATTATATTTCTTGATTTACAAGATTCTGCTGTTAAATTGAATACGATGGGGGAAAACAAACAGGTAGAGTTGAATGTGAGTTGGTTGAAGCAAACGTCTGTCATGTTGAGTCTGAACGTTGTCCAACCGGATGGCAATTTTGCTTTTGTTGGATATAAAATATATAACAGCAACAACATACAGAATGACTAGAGTGGAGGCACGTGGCGCCATGACTGGTTTCTAAATCCAACAATTCGCTTTTATAACCAAGATGAGATGAAAAGAAAAAAATAGAAAACATTTCTGCTTGTTTCTGCGAATCAAAACACATCGACTGTTCAAGTGGCCAACATAAATACAGTAAATCAAACGATTCGTTAAATGAAAAAAACCATTTGTCAACGTCTTCTTAAGCAATAATACTACTGTTTTAATAATAAGTCAGTGTCATGTTCGCCAATTTTGCAGACTCATGCTTTCTCGCTGACTCTAGAATATTTTTATTTTAACTACTAGGAAAGTATCTGTATATTTTATTGGACATTCTCTTCATGAATAAAGCTCTTGTGAGATGAATAACAATTGAAGCCAAACTAATATGAATCACAAATGTTGAAAATACAGAAAACCGATATAAACGAGTAACTAGTGAAACAACTTGAATTATTTTTATTATTCATCAAAAATAAATGACAACATGAATTTTTCGACAGCAAAGTTAGATTGTGAATAAATTGTAAAGGCTATTTGAATATTCTTGTTAGTAAAAATTTTCGTGTTTTATTTCAAGAACGATGGTTATATGTTGAGATGGAAAGGCTTACAAGGGTCTCTTTATCACAGTTCATTTTTCTTTAGCACGAAAGAAGTTGTTTCCCACGCGCCTAAGACATACATGCACAACTTGATATTTTTATTTGTATTTTATTGTTATTTAACTAACGCATACATGTGACTTAACATGAATTAGTCTTCACGAATTACCGAAGGAGGATTATCACATGACAAAGAACGCGCGAGCGTTATATTCGTAATCCTTTGGCGGAGGTCGGTACCTTTGATGCGCGTGCGTGGGCACACAAATCGAATTGCCTTGCGTTTCATCACGTTTCGTTTGAAATCGTTGGTATTCCCTGAGGATGAAGCGCCTGATTACAATTTATGTATCACCAGTCAACGATATACCTTTTCCCCTTCATCTTGTAGTCCTTCTTGTACTCCACAGACTACTACAACATAAGAAATAAGCTACGCATAACACCAATCTCAGCAATATCCTCCTCGCCTTCTGCTTCAGTATCCTCAGTTTATTTTACGCAAAACCTTAGGCGAAAAGTTGCATGATTATGTTCACAGCCAGATTGGTATTAACTTGCTTGCGCATGTCGAGAAGTTGCTCGGTAGAGAATACCAACCTCAAATCGATCGAGCACAAATTGCAGTTCATATTCTTCGCGACTCGTACGCACTACATGTATGTGCGATGTAAGTTCGACATGCCAGAGGCATGTTTTCTCAGCTGGCGCCCAGGACTCTGATACCAGTGATCGCGCCAGATCCTCTTTAGCCCCCGAAGGATCTTTTCAAGACACGGTCGGCTACCCACAAAGAGACCTCATCTTTCATCCGAACGTTATTATGCTCGTTACACAATATCGTTTCACCACCCCCTCTATACGACTCATTTTAAAATCCATCAGGTACCAATCCACCCCATACATCTAATTGTGTATTGCTCTTGGTCGCGACTCTAGAAAACACGTAAGGCAACAAAACGATATTGTGGTCTATCTTTTACAATCTAGAGAGAGAGATTTTACCTTTAATTTGTTGTTATAGCTGCTTGCGACTTGAGAATTGGTGCATTTGTAAGAGCCAAAGATCCTCAAACATTCATTATGTTTTCGTAACACGTTCGTGCGCCACGAAGCTCACGGCTTATTCTCTTGTTCCTTATGTTTGCTCTACATCCTGAGGAAGATTTAAACAAGATCTTCCTCGTTTTCAGTTTCGTCGCTTTGTTCGTAATTCAGAGAATTAGATTTCTCTAAATACTACCACCACGAAACTTTAATAATAAACTAAAATAATATGAGACAACAATTTAAATTATTCAGACATAATAGTTTCTGCTTTTAATTTATATTGACTATTTTTAACTTTTCATTAGAGAATTATTTGTAATGGGGTTAATTCGTAATTTTGTCATTTCTTCACATTTTGAGATATTTAAACATAATAGAAATTTGTTATAAACGAAAAGAAACTAAAAGACAATAAAATTTGAATTAATGTATGGAATTACTCTAACATATTTGCTTAAAATACATAATAGTATTTGAGAGTAGAATTTAAATTGAAATAGTTATTAGAATTTATTAAACTTTGATTTTCTAATATGTTAATAGAAATGTTCATGCACCAGGATTATGAATTATTATTATAATCAGTTAATGACAATTACTCTGTTATCAATTCTAATTTATGAAAGCTCATTCTGTAATAATGAGAATCTGTCGATATTGTATTATTCAAAGTAATCCGTTTGTAATCTGTTTGTTTTTGTTCTCGTCATGTTGAACGTATTTATTGTGCTCCATTTGTTACATTATTAAGTGTAGTACATGGATGATTATTTGATGGATCGTGAAAATCGAAAAGCCTAACAATGGTATCGAAAATTTAATGGAGCGTCACTCAAATGCTGAAGGAGATATCTTCTGTCTGATTGAGCAGATTCATTGGTGTAAAAATTGATTGTATACTCAATCTTGGAGCGATGTGAATTCACTTTAAAAATCCCCAATATTGTTTGTAAATGTCGTTGAAAAGGCATACTGGTAATCGCGAGAGGGAAAAACAGGACCCATACATTCTAATAGCAATTTATCTTTATCCATTACTGCTGATTTAAAGTCTCCCTCACTAATACTTCCATCACGATCAACGTCCAGGGTTTTTAGAATTAAATCAACAAAGTCCTAGAATGTAAGTTTCAATTAATCAATATCGAGCTCATTAATTAATTGCCTCATTAGATATTTTTCACCTTCAGTGTTTCATCAACATTTTCATCAGATCCCAAGCTTATGAAACATCCTCTCATGTTATTAAAAATTTGCTCTCTTTTTATTCTACCCGTCATCATTAAATCGTAAACTTTGAAAGCGAAATTAATTCTCTCTTCCAAAGTTCCCCTCAATATAACTGAAAACCCTCGTACCCATTGCTCCATATTAATATGTAAGGCATTCTGTTGAATCATTGCAGAAAAAACTTTGTCTACCAATAAATGTCGAATATTTTCTGTATAATCAAGACCTGAATGAAAAATATCCCGGAATAGAGTTCTTGATATTGATCCGTGTTCTTTACAAATTTTATAGTGAATAAGAGCTAGTGCTACAATGAAATAATAACATAATTGATTAATTGAAATTATTTGCTTATTTTTCAAGCCTTTACCAATCCAATAGTCTTAATATTAATTAACTTTCAAACACAAATAAAATTATTTAGAATTATTTAAAATTATTCAATGGCAAATATTTACCTTCAACTTCTTTCAAATTAAAATGAGTTTCTTTAGCTAATTTTTTCAACAAAGGCCGATTTTTTCTAATGTACACTATTTCCTTGGACGATTCATTCAGCATGTCGATTGGTAGTTGTCGTGGCATTTTTGTAATTTATTTATATTCTATTTCAAGCAGTGTTTATGATAATTTAGGGAAAAAAAGATTTTCTTGTAGTTAAAAATATCCATAGTCAAACTAAAGAGGTTAAAGTGACAAATAGCTGACAATCAATCTCAGTAAATTTCAGTATTTAAAAAACATTTCTCTAAGACTTTCAAATGATGTCATCAAAAAATATTTCTTCCCACAAAAAAAAACCGGTAGCTAGTATTTTTATTCATCTCTTTTGCATTTGAATAAACCACTAAACATAATCCTAAAAAATTGAAGATTCAAAGGTGTCGAGATCTCTTTGGAGTTGAGAAAAAAATCATTATTAAAGTCGGTAAGAGTTGTAGTAAAATTTAAAAAGCTGTTACTCCATTCCTTGGATAGCTATAAAGATGGGAGTATTTTTTTCATGGTGACCAAAAGATCCAATGGTTTCTACAGAAGCTATTTATTGGATAAAACCGCCTATAAAGTTTCACCTAAGTATATCTAATGACATCATTTCGAAGTGAATGCAATAAACTGGTACAAAGCATTAAAGATTTTGATGAGAATATAAAAAAAATATGGAAGTCAAGATATCTCAAAAAGGTATTTCAAATTTTAAATCCCTTATTAAATCGAAAAATTATGAGAGAAAGATATTTTTTCTCAACAAAAATCCTTCCTTCATTTGATTGATAATTTCTTAAGTAGGATTTAACTGAAAAATATTTAAATACTTGGTTAATAATAAAAGATATAATTTATATTTTAAGTATGAAAGCAAATGTATTAACAACCTGCTCATTACGCAGGATAAAGATAAATTACCAGTGCAGATTTTTCGCAGAGTAAACAGGTCGAGATGATACCGCATTGTTTCACATAAGTGGACTCTGCTTGAAAGAATTCTTTGAAACATTTTATGAAAGGACGCTTGAGTGCATAGCTTGCAATACTAGTAAGAAGAACAAAATGCTCCAACTCTACAGTGCAATTTTCCTGTTCATTTTTGGGCTCACTACTGTAATCTTTAGCTATCTAAACGTTGCAAACGTTCCAAGGTGATGATTTGTGACCTCCCAGCAGTCGTGCGTGAAGGAAGAAAACCAGAGTCTTGGACTCTACATTCAATTTCGTGGGGCGTCAACCCGCTGACGTTGTGTCCGCCCATCTTATGAAATTTCGACGTCACATGAAATAAATTACAATTTTTTTACAACTCATTTTTGACTCAGAAAAATCGTCTTTCTTTTTAAAACAACTTCAGATGTCAGACCAAATTGTTTTGCACAAAGCTAACCCAAGGGGCTGTGTCGAAATTTGTTGATAAAAATCTTTCCATCACTTCTGCGAATTGACTTCAAAAAAGATGGAGTAAGATTAGTACACATAGCTTGAGGCTAGATGACGTATAAGTTAACATTATCTGCCATTTATTTAAATAAATATTTAAGCACTGTTTCCCTATACACTCTCACATGTACTCTGCTGATAGGATCATTGCAGAGTAGCATCATAAATTCTAGTATCATCTTTATTGATCATATTTATCTAACAGATAATTATGTTCGATTGTCTTAGAGTCAAATAAGAACAGAGTGAGATAATGTAGCTCTCCAAACAGAGATTAAAGATATTCGTAATGTCCTGCAGCCTTTTGTTCAACGTTTAGTAACCCAGTCAACACGGTCAACGATTTTATTTACGATCTGGTGGTCCTGTTGGAGCTGCAGTGTGGGTGTTGATGCAAGGGCTAAATAACAATTACAAAATATCGCTTTAAGTAAACTTTTACGCCATACTAAAAAATCGAACAAGAACTCACAATAAATAATATTTTTCTCCATTATTTTGTGATGAGTTATTCAAAAAACATCCTAAAGATCATTTATATGTTGCATGATATTTAAAATAATAAATAAATTATTGTTGAATAATAAAATATGATAAGAAATATCTCTTAGAATAAATTTAATGATTAACAATACGTTTTATATCTATTTCTAAATTTTACATTTCAGATAAAGAATAATGGGAACGTTGTACCACATGACGAGACAATTTATATGAATTCTATAGAAAATGGAATACACAACTGCACTATTTCTCCAGGAAAAACAATTGACAAAAATATTATTTTTGTATCGACAGAGTATTATTACTTTTTTCTATATGATCTCGATAAATAATAAAAAAAAATAAAAGATCAATTTTAACGACTTTCTCTACTCCTCCTAAATTTTGACGTGTTCAGTTACGAGGATAATAATTTATGTCCTGTAAAAAAAAAAAAATTTAACAAATATGGATGAATATTTTTCACTAAAAATTATTTGACGGAAGATGAAACTGATTAATTACTCTGCAATATAAATAGAGGTTATTTCTTTAGGCATTTTGCTGGAAAACACACCACACTCGGTGTTTCATGTGTGAAATATATCATCGCTCTCTGTATTATCTCTCGTTGTAGATTACTCAGTTGAGATCATTTTATTCCTCAATGAATTCAGCTGCTTGTAAAAGTGTCATGTGAATTACTATCATCAACCATTTTTATCCAATAAGTAATAATTGAATATTTTAATGAGTTGAGTGCTTTTTTTTTATTTAAGACAGCTGACAAAGCTATCAAGAACTTTCTTTTTGATAAAAAGATGTTTCAAAATATTTTGAAGTGATGCTGATACTTTCAGTCGTTTTTATTCACCAACTTTAACCTCTTAAATATCTGTGAATGGTCTTCTAAATGATTTTTGACCATTCTCTGATTCTCTATAACATAAATATCATTTTTCAATTTAGGATACGCAACAATACAATGAATTTCTCGATTACCCGTGGAAATAAAGTAAGAAGAAATTTTTTAAAATAAATAAAATCCAGAAATGATCTCATGTCAACAGTTAGACTGTTGGATCCAACAAAAAAGACGTCGGCTGACCAGCAGCGGGTTTTAAGATGTGAACAGAGGATTGTTATGTAACAACACAGGAGTGAAATGTATGACAAATGTCGAAGAAGGTTCGAACTAAGTGAACCGTGAATTTAGTGTGTATTCGATGATGGCATTCGTAACGATTTTTTTTATGGTATTGTGTTGTGGACACCTTGGACCTCATGCCAAGTTATTGTACCATCAGGATCAACCTTTACGAAGATTTAAGATATTTTTTTTTCACGAAGATGAAGTTCGTGTGTGGCAGACTTGTGTTTTTATATTGAGTTATTTTAGACGATTTTTTTCGTTGGCTTTTGACAACTACTGATAACAACTTTTCTTATTCAAAAACCATCTTTCAACCTTTCTTGAAATAAATGATCTAACGTTTCTGATAAGCTAAAGTTGTTAAAGCTCTCATGTCTGCGACTTGTCTGAATCTTTTTTCACTGCAGCTGCTCCATTCATTCACGCCTCTGATGAGCCTCCTATCGTCTCTATCAGGACGAACTGCCACTGAAAAATCGCCATGACTCTATCGGTATACGTCTCACCTAAGAAAAGTCACTTAAGAACCAATGCCTCATGTTTTTTTTCCTGAGAAAAAATTAAAATAAAATTTCAGCTTTCAACGTGTTCAGATGAGCTCTCTTTTCAATTGAAATTAATTACTTCTGTCAAAAGATACATAAATTGAATTTTTCAAGATAATTTTTTGGAATAAAAAATAGTTTCTATAGATTAAGTCGTAGTTATACAAAAGGATTGGATTATTTTTTCAATGATATAAAAGCAAAGCCAGGTGTTTAGTAGTCGATTTTAAGGAACTACCATAAGAGAATATAAATTGTAAGAAAATGTTTAATGTGTAGTGTAAGAAGGAACACATTCTCAATTTTCTGTCTGGCCTATATCCAATCTATGCTCCGAAGAACCCACAATGCCACTCTATTTCCTTGACGCGTATACAATCACGTCAGAGTAATCCTGTTAGAAGACGCTCCACTGCTCTGGAGACACCCTGCTGTGAGGGTGGAAAGATGTTCGTGCAAACGCATACATGATCCTACCAGGAGTGGCAATGGAATAAGGCCTTATGTGGGCCTCACCACATTTTCCTACTGTGTACCATAATATTATTAAAATATTTAGTGCTACACTATTACTACCATGAAACTACTTATGACATGAGTAATTACTTGATGGCCCTCGTCTTATTCACTTCCTAATAATAATTTTTACCCGCGTAGTTTGGCATCTACGATTGGTCGTCAAAATAGTTATTTTTTTTTTTTTTAAACTAAGATGTGTAGAGTTTTATTATCACATCATTTAATATAATTTTAAAATAACTTGAATGAATAACCGTGCTCCGTTGATTCATGCAAATTAATTTTACTTGAAATAATCATAACTTTTATAGAAGATTCATTTAACTTCAAAAGTTCTATTAATTAGTCTTGAAGAATACCTTTTCACTCTCCAATAAAGTATTTGAATAATTAATTCAACTTGACAATTTAATTCAGTCACACTTCATAATATTTGACTTCTCAATGTCTTAAAGACTCAATTGGGATTCTATTTTTGACAAAATGATCTAAAGTCTTGATGGAATATTAACGAATTGGAAAATAATTCGATTTGAGTTTGAGAATATTTTTTTTTCGTCAGAAATAAATATTCTATGGAAGTGTATTTAAATAAAAAATGTAGATCTATTCAATTTTGTGAAAAATTAAATTTTTCGGTATTGAATAGTATTAAAGTTTAACAAAGAATTTATTTTCATAAAATTTGAGTTGTAAATAGGATAGAAAAAATTGATTTGTGGAATGTAAAAGAATAAAAATGTGATAAGCTCTTCCTACCTCTTCCTCTTTCGACTTTTGTAATCATATTATTATTTTCGCTTCTCTCCGCTATTCTTCGTACCTTTTTCGTCATCATTCTCGCCCTGTTTATGAAACGTTATGAAACGTAAAACCGTGAAAAACTCACAAAGAGGATTGAGTACACAGCTTGGAATATATATCAGGATATTGCGTTAGCTTCCAACATCACTTACAGATATATATACACAATGTACTCGAACGCAGTATATTATACGACAGAATTTGATATTGTTAATCTAAATTTTTATTAAGCATCAAAAACATTTAATCCAATTCGTGAAATCTAATATTCGATTGGCAATGACAGGATAGAGTCGATGATTACATTTGGGTATCTGGTTGCTTGATTAATATTATTTTAACATAAAATTAAGCCTCCAGTAAATGCCAATATATTTTAATCCGTCAAGAGTTTCACGAGAAACTGGATATCTCCGTTATATAGAGGTTTATTCTTCTTAAATTACTGATAGATTGTATTAATCCAGGTCGCACCTATTTTTTATCCTGCATCAGTTACAGAATAATTCTTTTAATAATATTATGTATATCAGTCTGAATGGTGGATAAATTTTTAGCTTGTGTACACAAAAACAGAGGATCTTGTCATCATATATTCTTGAAAATTAAATAATTGTGCACATAAGATTAGAGTGAGATTAAATTTATCATGCAACAAGGATGCGCTAAAGTAGATTATGAAGTACTAGGAGAAAATATCATGCAATCTGTAAACTGTATCTAATCCCATAGTTAATCTCTAAAAATGAGTTTCATTTTCAGCTAACATGAAGAGATAGCACAGTCTTCTCTTTAGTAAACTTAAATTATTTCAGTCAAATTCATTTTTTATTTGTGATTGTATTGTTTTTTATTATCTAATAGATTTAAAAGGAAACAATTTTTCTTTCAGAAAATTTTGATACATATCCTCATTATTGACGCTTCATCAAATTTGATGAAATCGTAAAGTACCTTTCACACTTCGTCAATTTACCAAGAACGTGACTGAGTGTTAATTAAACTTGCGCATATGGAATAATGAGAAATCCTTATATTTATATGCTTCTTCGTTACCCGGATCTTCTTTAACAGTTCATGAGCTATAGAGATAGTAATCTATCTTGATTCAGAAATTCTCCAAGAGTATATTGCACCTTGTAATCCCATCGGAATTGATTTTAAACTTTTATATCTTCATAAGAATTGGAAAAAATGAAATACTGCAGAATCCACTGAGTAAAAGAAGTAGAATAAATATTTCTACATTTTATATGGATATTTATTAGAAACAGGATCAAAAAGAGGATCTTACTATATCTCCCACATAAAGAATGAAGGAAGAATTCGATTTAAAAAAACTCAAATTTAGCATAAAAATAAAATAAAACATAGTAAGTTTAATTTTTTTTATTTAAATTTTCTAAGAAGAATTAATAAAGATGTGTATTTTCCTGGTAATTTAATCAAGATATCAGGTGTGTCAGATCTTATTTTCATTTAAAAAGAAACTTCAAACGAGATGGAAAATCATACAAAGGGAACAATAAACAGACCGACCACTGGTGTGAGCTAGAAAAAGAGTCAGCCTTATTTTTGTGTTAAATTTAGTAGCCCACACGGTGGAAATGGAAAAACTAGAAAGTAAACTCAATGCTTGTTCGCGTGGCGTTTTTGTTGTAGCTACCTACCACCCGTGGATTGAGTTCAAGAACAAGCATGACTGTAAAGATTCAAGATTGCTGAGGACACTGCATTTGCGATCTGAAGAATCCAGGTTCATCTTCTTTCTGCTTGAACCCATCTCTCTACGTTGGATATTTTAAGCAGGAAGAGGTAAAAATTAGAATAGCCTGCTTTTAACCTTATAAGTACTTGTTTCTACCTAGGATGAAGATAGGATAAATATTAGCACGAATTTAGGATAAAATTGAAGAATTCTTGTCCTAAGAAAATACTGATTTTAATTAGGTGTTGTCCATCTCAAGTTAAATCCTTGAGAAGGATAGTCTCAGGATAAAAAGAGGATGAAAGTAGGTATTTTATTTGGACCCGGGTTGGCAAATAAAATAGAGGAAAAATATCTAGTCTTGAACAGGATCCAAAAATGATAAATTACATATTTGTTGATGATTAAAAAAATATTTACAAATAAACTCTTTTGCAAAAATAAATTTGTAATATTTCTGTCTTAAATTTAAATCTATAGAATAATAAAATTTCAATTGGAAGAAAGTTTTATCTATTGTTCAATAAATAGAAGAAATCTACAGACTCATGATGGAGTATTTTTCATAAAAATGGTAATTTTTTCTACTTCTCTATTTACTACTTAACTTTTAGTACACCTCAGTTGCCTTTGTAGCTACTAAAA